TCCTTCCGAGGAGTGGCTGGTGGGTTTGAACCGCCAGCCATCTGATTAGCAGTCAAGTGCCTTAGGTACTACACTACCAGAGCTCCCAGCTGTGGACATATTCAAAGTAAAATAGACTTACAAGATTGTAAACAGGGAACCAGAGACATCAATTGACAAGTGAGTACAACTACAAACCAAAAAGAGGGAGAATACCGTGAAGTTACAGAACTTCTAAATGGTGAAGAAGTCAAGAGAGTTGCAAGATAGAACAGAGTGTTCTAAACTCAGGGAGAAAATTATAAATCGCAGGGTAACTGCAAAGAAAAATGATAAACTTTCACATCACAATAAAAAAGAGGACAAGCACAAAAATTCAGCAAATACTAAAACAACAGCAACAAAGGAAATGATAACATGATTCATAAACATAATGAGCTCAGCACAGAAAATAATATGGAACAAACAAACCAGGGACACCATGAAAAAACACATAACAAAATGACAACAACCAATTCATACTTGTCGATAATTACACTGAATGTTAATGGATTAAATGCACCACTTGAGACAGAGAGTTGCAGATTGGATGAGAAAACAAAACCCATCAAGATGCTGTCTACAAGAGACACATCTTAGAGACAAAGACAAAAATAGACTAAAAATCAAAATGGGAAATAGATTGATCAAGCAAATGGCAATCATAAAAGAGCAGGAGTGGCAATATTAATTTCTGATCAAGTTGACTTTAAGACAAAAACCACCATATGAGACAAGGAAGGACATTATATAATGATTAAAGGATCAATTGAACAAGATATAACCATAATAAATATCTATGGACCCAATGAAAGAGCCCCAAAATACATAAATCAGACTTTAAAGGAGTTGAAAAGCCAAATAGATGACTCCACAGTCATAGTGGGAGACTTTAATACACTGCTTTTTTTTTAAATTTATTTTTTAATTTTAACAGCTTGTTTTACAGTCAATGCAATGTGTACATTTAGTTTCATTCCCCATTTACCATGTCCAACCCTAACTCAGTTTCCTCCCCTCCTACCCTGTAACCCTCCCCCTGTGCCCCTCAAATTTATGCACCCCTATTTGTCCTGCATTTCCTCAATTTGAATGTTGGCCCTCTGGTGTCCCATGGTCTATTGCTCTAAGGGATGTACTACCATAGAGTATGTGGGTGCGTCATCCTGTTAACTATTGAGCTGAGAGCCAGCCCCTGGGGGTACATTTTATTCCAAGCACAGAATGTATTCCAGGGCCATAGTATTGGGGGGTCTCACCAGATTTCATCTGATCAGTATTTCTGGTCATTATTGAGTTTTTCAAATTTGTTCCAATTTTCCCTCTCACTCTATCCAGGATCTCCAGATTTGATCCTTTCCTGAGTAGTTGGCATTGGTAGCCAGGCACCATCTATTTCTTCTGGTCTCGAGGGCCATCGTGTCCTATGGCTGATTGCTTCTAAATGCCCTTGTTTTTTTGTTTTTTGCATTCTTCTTTGCTTTGGACGCTAGGAGACCGTTAACTGCATCTTAGATGGCCACTTGAAAGCTTTTAAGACCCCAGTCACTACTCACCAATGTAATACACCACTTTCAATGAAAGACAGAACAACTGGAAAGAAATTTAACAAAGATGCAGAAGAACTAAACAATACAGTCCACCAACTTGACTTTACAGGTATCTACAGAACACTTCACCCAACAGCAGCACAATATACATTCTTCTGCAGTGCACATGGAACATTTTCCATGATAGACAATATGTTAGGCCATAAAGCAAGCCTTAATAAATTTAAAAAAACTGAAATACTGCAAAACATCTTCTCAGATCATAATGC